GCATCCTTTTTTAAAGAGATATCCTGATTCCAATTGGTTTCCTTGTGAATATGCCATATAAATCTGCTAACTTTAATTTTAAAGTAATATGTAAGTTTGTTCTTATTTATTCAATTAAAGATAGCATCTTTATAGATTGCAAAAAAAAAAAACCCCAAAAAACAACCACCTGCACCTATTTTCCATATTGAATACTGGATGGCTTAAGTTCCCACGAGACAACTTATTTATTGAATTGTGAAAAGTGCATCTTACTGTATTTTATATGTGCTATAGAATTATTTTTTTCATCTAGCTGTATTGCTGTTCTGCATTTTATAAGCAGGCAGTTGAAATTATTGTGTCTCCTAAGAGATATAGTCTGGTTGTCAATTAGATATCTCCCCCCCCCCTTGTTCTTTGCAAGGTGAAAATAGAAAAGGACTGGGCTGAAGCAAATGTTTGGAAACTTAAGTGATTGACCATGTGCTTTACCTCTCAAGCATGATATATTGAACTTGTGAAGTTCTTTAATTCTTATTCAATTCCCATTAGTAGCAGCAAAGGATGAAAGTGCCAGGGATAAATGGAAGCTTGTACTCTTGTGATTTTTTAAATAGTCCTAGCTTGCCCTGGACTTCCTTTTGGGCAAGGAAAACAAAGCCCAATGTGATCAGCAATAAAACCACTACTATCATATATTTTATATTGTGTTGTTCATTCATTTCATTTAAAGAACTGTCCTCTAATTTCTTTTTGGCTTTTAATGGGATTTAGCTGTCAGGTTTTTTCTTCTAATCTAATCTAATATTATGAGCTACCTGCAGCATAATTTTTGGACACTGCTTTGCTAGTCTTAGGTAAAAGAGGTTTGCTTTTCTCAGGTAGCTGAGTAGGTTCTGCCTTTTTGAAGTTCTTGCAGACCCCAATAATCACCGCCTGCCATGCTGAGATTGCTGAAATCACAGATGACTAGTTAGGCCAACATGCCATCTAAAGAAGTTTTCACTTTGCTTATAAAGAGCAGTCAAAGAGAAAGTTGATAAGAGTTTGGAGACAGCTCCAATTTGCTATCTTTTCTGTTTGGCCCTACTAATATATAGTTTCTTGCACCTACTGAAAAGTACAAATAGGTGCAGATATAGATTATGCATAAGTCCTATATTGAGCAGAAATTTTCCATTTAAGTGTTCTTAGGTTCATAAAAATAAAAAGCAAGTCTGCTGTATATTCCATAGAGCAATGGTTCCCAACCTTTTCTATACCCCAGACTCCTAGAACGCTTTTGATATATTCTTGCATCCCTTACAAACGTTTGAAATAACAGCAACGAATTATGCATATACACTATAATTTTGAAAACCCAAGTTTTCATACCCCCTAGAATTTCATCTCGCACCCCCAGGGGATGTGAGCACCCTTGGTTGGGAACCCCTGCCATAGAGCTATGCATTGTTTTGGATCTGATTCTTTAAATGATGCTTTGGAGTATGTGGGGATATGAATTTTCCTGTTACTCTTTAAAGCATCAGTGTCTTTTCTCAGAATCATATATCAATTGTGTCCTCTCATGCTTCAAAGTATTTTTGTGTAAACTATCAGTTATTTGGATTCCCCAGAAGAGAATATGGACTTGATGTTCCAAAGATATGGTACTATGTAATTACATATATGAAGAATAACATTAAATTTCAAGTGAAATTTTACTCAAGGGTTTTCTGCATTCACTCAAGATCATTTGACATATAAGCAGGAACAAAATTTTCTGTGAATGAGGTTATTGCAAAACCAGTTTCCTATTCAAGCATGCAGATGTTTTATTTAAGTAGTCCTCAGACCTCTGATTTATTTAGCATAACACATCTTGTTATACTATTCTTCTGAAACACAAGACAAATTTCACCTCCTCCATAGTAGAAAAAGAAAAAACACCTTGAATTTTTTATGACATACAGAAATAATTACATTTAATTTACAGTACAGATGCATTTTACACAGTCGCAAGTCGTTCACTAAAAAAAAAACCCAGCATTTAAAACACATCTAAAACACTGAAAGAATGTTTAGCTTCTGCATTTCAGAGAAAACAGTAATAGCTGTGTGATGAGTGGCTAGCATTATCGAACACAAGAGCAGAGGAGTTAAGACAAACATACCGCTAGATTGTATCCTGTTCTCTAAGTACTGGTGTTCCAGCTTTCCCATTTATGTATGCTCTCAAATAGAGCATTGCCAAAGACTAAATTTTTAAATCCCAGAATGTCAGAACTGGCTTATAAAGCTCCTAATTTAGAAAAGAGTTGGCCTTGATTGAAAAAAATATGGGAAAAGTAGTAAGGCTGTTATAGCCATAAATCAATAATACCTTATGCACAAGCTGGGCTATAGACGGAACCTCTGCGAGACATGAAGTTTGGATGTCACTCCATTGCTATTTGTGGACTGAATTCAGCAGGTCAGTGATAAAATCTGTTTCTGCATACAGCTCACCAGGAGCTGTCTGTGACTGCCAGTTTCTGCCTGCAAAGTAGCATCCATAAATGTAATTAATGTACCCAGTGATATTTCAAGAGAAGAAACTGGTGAAAATTGTATTTAGTATTTGGATATTACTAAAACCCCAATTTCCTACAGCATAAAATACAAGAGTGAGTGAGTAATAAAAAAATACAGCAGTGAGTAGAGAGTTTGTACATTCTGAATTATTGTTTTCTTCTTAACATCCACTGCACATGTGCACACCTTGCATGGTGAAATCAAGGACTCCTTCACCATCTTCTAGCATGCCTTATACAAAAAGTCAACACAGAAATCAGCAGAAGCAAAGAGCATCAAAATGGGGAAAACTCTATTGTAGAAGAAAAGTTAAGCAGTAATTTAAAATATTCGTTCATGGAAGAATGAAATAGTCCTGGGGTTTTGGGGAGAATCATTTAAGACAATTACACTGGAAAACAGAACATTCAATAGAACCAGTGTGTGGCAAGGGCCTCAAATGCAAATTGATATTAAAATGGTGATTATAGTAATTTTTATTCTTTACTAAGAATAAAAATCATAACCAGAAGATGGAAGGGGGGATAAAACACATGATTTTTTTCACCTTGAACCTACTTTGTGGCTACATTTTATAGGAAGTTGGCATGGAATATATTAACCATTTTTAGAGCCAGATGCTGCAGTAAAAAGTGTCAGTGTAATAAAAATAATTGCACAGATGTTTCTATACTGCTGTGGCAATATAGCATTAAATATTATGTTTATATTTCCTCTGAAACAGTCCAACTGAAAGGTATACTGCTCAAAGTGAGAGGTTAATTGCTATTGCTGTAAGATGTTGCATCCATTTGTATTAGTTCTTGTTTGGGCTGGTCTCTGAGAAAGCCACTGCAGATTCTGTTGCAGTTTCACCTGTTTACCTACCCCCTGGTTTCCCAAGGGAAAATCACCCCTAAACTAAGGCAAGAAGACCAGGCAAATCCATTCATAGTTATGGGATGAATATCTTGCCCTAAGGCCTGCTCTAGTGCATGAGATGCTTTGGATCTGCTCTAGAAATGAGATGCTTTGGATTGTATCACTGGTCACATAATAATACAAGTGCTGCAGGTAATTTAAACTAGATTGCTTAGAAACAGAGAAGAACAGACTGATCACCAACATCCAATGTACAGGTAGTCCTCAGCCTTTGACAACAATTGGGACCAGAACGTCTATTGCTAAGTGAGATGGTTGGTGAGTTGTGCTCAATGCTATGACCATTTTTGCCACAATTTTTAAGTAAATCAATGTGGTTTTAAGTGAATTGTATGATTATTAAGTGAATCTGGCTTCCCCCATTGACTTTACCTATCAGAAGCTAGCTGGGAAGATCATAAATGGTGAATCACCTGACCACTGTAAATTTATGACAGCTGGGTGACTTGGGCCAGTCACTCCGTCTGAGTCCAACCCACCTCACAGGCCGTTGTGGGAAAAATAGGAGGAGGAAAGAGTATCATATATGGTCTCCACCTATTTATAAAAAGTAATACTGGAGAAAAATAAATAAAAAATATCAATCAATCTAAATAAATTCTGGTTGCCAAGTTCACAAATTTTGATCACATAACCATGGGGAGTATGTGATAGTTGCAAGTGCGACAACTGGTTGTAAGTCATTTTTTTCAGCACCATCATAACTTCGGCATTTAAATAAATGATTGTAAGTTGAGGACTACCTGTATAATTTTTAGTATTATATCAGTGGAGACATTTATAGACATTCTTCCATACATCAGGTAAAGACATTTCTCAGATGAAATACAATTTCATATTGGCCCATATATCAATTTCTTTAGAAAGTCTTTCCAGATTTGGTTATATTTTATCAACTGCTTTGTTTAATAAGGCGAAATAATAGGCAACTATCACATTCCTAAACAGATAACAATAACTAAAGAAATAGTAGAATAAGTTGGGTTTTTGAAACTTGAATTTTTGAAACAGCATTTTAAAAATCCTTTAAAAATCCTAAAAGTGACACAAAAAACTCTACATGATAAAATATATGCACTGATCCTATGGTAATACACTCACAGCTCTGATCTATAGCTTTAATTTCAATTGTAATCCATTTTAGAATATTGGGCATCCATGAAGGGAGATACTTAAAAAAGTAAAGATGCAATAGTGATTCATGTAAAAAAGGGACAGGCCTTGATGATACGGTCACAATGGCCATCTTGACTTTTTCAAACTCCACTTCACTGCAAACGCCTCTGTTAAGCTATCTGATCCAGTGCTTCAGAACAGATTTGACAAATAGGTCACTTCACATGACCCTGGGACACTGTGACCATCATAAATATGAATCAGTTGCCAAGCATCTGAATGTAAATCACAAGACCCTGGAGATGCTGCAACATTCCAGATGATCGGCGCTTCTTCTAGGCTCAGCAGAAGTGCCAGGATCAGCGCGGAGCTCCAGCTGGAGCCTGGCACCGATCCTGGCACTTCCGCTGAGCCCTGACAGCCCTGAAGAAGCGCCGATCAGCTGGAAAGTGGCCCTGATCCTGGCGTTTCCACTGAGCCCTGCAGCTCCAGCCATTTCTCGATCAGGCTTGTCAGGTGCTACCACCAGTTCAGCTCATTCCCCTCCTCTGCTACCACTTTTCTAGGATGGTCGCGTACCACCTGCCAGGTGCCAATGTACCACAGATGGTACCCGTACCACTGGTTGAAAAGCCTTGTTTTAGAGGACTTAACTGCTATACCACGTTAGTTTTACATCAGATCTCAGCTACTTGTAACATCACATTAGGAAGACTTAATTAGTTCAGAAAACAAACATTATAGAATGATGCTTATAGATCAAGCTTTTAAAAAAACACATAGGAAAACTCCATATTCAAAGGAGAACAAAACAAATAATGAAAAGCAAAGATTGGCTTTGAGGAATAGTAGGATAACAGAAAAACAAAAAAAGCTGACAGAATTATTGTTGGCCTTAAATGATTAAAACATTAAACTTTCTCATGTTACATAATGTATTGATTATCCATGTGGGCTTTTATTTTATAGCTGACTTTGTGCAGTTACAGTATTTTTCTGTGTATAAGATGCTATTTTTTTCCTGCAAACACCCTGTTCAAAAATCAGGTGCATCTTATACAAGTGCAGCATCTCATACACAAAAAAATAATGGTAACCTCCGCAGCCCAGCACATGCCTGTTTGGGTTCTTTACATACTGCTGCCATGCCGCCTGATGCAGGATATCACTGGCCCGAGATGCCGCCTGGTGCTGGAGGATCGCACTGCCCCAAGGATGCCAGTCCCACTGAAGCCACCTTCTATGACCCAGTTTTTCACCAGCGCAGCTCAGGCTGAAGCTGCAAGGGGGCGTCTTATACAAGGGGGCGTGTCATAGACGGAAAAATATGGTATATAAATAAAAGACTGATTCCTGATACAACAGATGTACATTGAATTATTGCAGTTGTAACAGTACCGAGGAAGCAAGGGAAAACAATCATAAATACTAAACTAACTGAACACCTCAAGTTCACTAATGTGTGTTTTGAGTATGAAATTTTTCTCTCCCCATCCCACCCCTCTCCAGCAGGTTATTTGTACACCATGGAACATTAACAATCAGTTTTTGTAAGTGCACAGAAATGCCCCTTTTTTACAGTAAAATGTTATCATGCCTAGTCTGAAGTAAACAAAGAAGTAAATTCAGCTCCAAAGAATTTTCACATGCATATGAGTTGTTTCTTTCAATCCGTATTCATACTGGATGAGCCATTTCTCTCTCTTTTGAAGTCAGCTGATTGATGAGTTCATGGTTTATCAATAGGAAAAAAGAGAACACGTTATCAAAACTGGGTCCATCCTTAATTTTGCATTTGGCTGGAAAATAAACTGTCTGAATGGTGGTATGTGTCTTTTTTTTTAGATATTTTATTAAAAAGATTTTTTTCTATATCCCCATGGTAAGAAGAAGCTTTAATGGGAGACATTTCATTGTGCTCATACAGTAAATGAAAAGAGTCACACAAGAGTTTATTCCAGAAAAGGTCCAGTTCATATAGAAATTCCATTTGGTTGTTCACTGCACACAGTTCAATATTGAAAACTTAGAATATTTTGTATCTCTGGAATCCTTCCATTATCTGTGGCTGTTCTGTTTAACCCAGAGATACATCTCTCCTTCTTCTGAATCTTGACAGCTACTCAGTGGTCTTTATTCCACCTGTTTTATAAAGCAGATACTCGAACGATGTTTCCTCCTGAATACTCTGGAAAATCCTGTCTATTGTTTCCTTCCGGGGTAGTCACAGGTGGTGTTGGGATGCTAATTATTGCTGTGGTTACATAAGGCTGCTCACAGTTTAGTTTTACACACTCTTCCATTTTGGCATTTAAACTGGATCGACTAGAGATGAGAGAAAAATAAATAGAAACAAATTATGTAAACATTCCATCTACTTTAGGGTTTTTATACAATTCTACTATGTCAGAAAATAATCCCAGATGCATGTTGGTCAGGTCACATATATAGAAGACTTTACATTATTTGTTTGTTTATTTATTTAGATCTTTCCTTTATTGTTTTTAGAAATACATCAAGACAGCGAACATACCTAATACTTCTTCATCTTCAAATTTTTCTCACAACAACCCTGTAACTTGAGTTGGGCTGAGAGAAAGTGGCTGTCCCAAGGGCATCCAATTGGTTTTTTCATGCCTAAGGTGGGACTAGAACTCAGAGTCTCCTGGTTTCTAGCTTGGTGCCTTAACCGCTAGATCAGTGGTTCTCAACCTGTGAGTCGGGACCCCATTTGGGGTCAAACAACCATTTCACGGGGGTCGCCAAACAACACAGTCCGCCATTTTTTCCCCCTTTTCCTTAGCTGTGCTACTCCCTTTTATTCTATTGGCTTTTGAAAGCCAATAGAATAGACTCTCTTGAATAGAGTCTAATTCTATTGGCTTTCAAAAGCCAATAGAATTGTTAGGGCTGTCTCTGTCCTGCTGAGCCTGCCAAAAGTCCCATTCTGCAAATGGTGCTGCACCAATTGAGTAGTCCCCGACTTACGACCGGTTGAGTAGTCCTCGACCCTTACCACCGGTTGGGGGTCGCGGCATTAAAAAGGTTGAGAACCACTGCGCTAGATCAAACTGGATGTGAATACTTACTGTTTATGAATGTCTTTTTCTTACATCTTCTACATTTACCTAGATTTGGAAGTGCTAAATGAGTTTAGGCTATTGTTTTGGAATGGTTAACAACTTTTTAAAAAATCAACTCATGTATAATATTGATCTATAATGAAATTAAGGCTCTCATACATTAGCTTCAATTACACAACAGCTTACAAGCCAAGATAGCTTTGAAGAAATGTAGACATCATATTTAGAGACTGAAACTCAGGAGGACATGCACTCAAACAAAATGAAGATCGGACAGGTTCATATGTAGAATTCAGTTGTAAGTGGAAGTCTGACTATAAGTACATTGAGATGTATATTTAAATAATTATTTATAAACTAACTTCCACTAGTTGGGTCACAGGAATCACAAACTAAACTGGTGTTTGGAGGTGGAAATGATTCTCATTTTCACTACATGCAAGGAACAATTTCCCAAATAAGATTTTCTCAGTGCAGCATTTGCTCTATCCTGAGGGACATGATACATTTCTATATTTTTGAAAATCATCTTATCCTCGTGAAATTCATGGTGAGTTACCATAATGAAATCATCAGATTTCATTTATTATAAAATATAAATTGGAAGATATAATGAAAAAAGTACTGCTCAACATTTTACACAAAAGAATCATGTAATGAATATAGATATTAAAGAAATTCATTCACTTCTACAATTTAAGTATAAAAAGGCTTTTTCTAGAAAGCTTTACACATAGCTTGTCAGTTTGGCATCAGCAATTTAAAAGGTAACCACCAAATTCCTAGATTAAATACATTTTCAGCCACTTTTTCATTTTTTAAAAATTATGGTTGACCTTTATTTGGGGGGATCTGTGTCATGACATGAGCACAAGGGATGATGCTTTTCTTTGTAGTAGCCATTATTTGAAACAGCAAGTGTAAACAATCATGTATACATCTTGGTAATTTTTTGCCCAGAAAATCTGAACATTTTATCAATTATACCTATCTAAGAGCATTTTTACAACTGAAGTACCTGTTTGACAGAGGTGTTCTTTCCATGCACCTGATCTGAATAGTGCTGAGTTCTTGGACACTACTTGGACGACTGCTGATTATATTGGTATTTGGGACGTGGAATGTCTTTTTATGTCGCCGGGAACAGCAAGAGGTTGTCACTCCTTGTTGAGAAGAGAGAGAAGGACTATGGCTAGTTTGCCGGTTGACTGTAGAAACCTCCATACAGCTTTCTTCATAGATTTGATCATCCACAAACTCGTGATTCTGGGCCACAGACATAGGGAGAAAAAGCAGTATGAATGACATTGTAATAGTGACTTATGCAAGATACTCATATTTCATTGTAGTTATAGGCTATTTTTTTTTTTTTAATTTAGTCCTTGCAAGGCCATTCTTATCAAGAAGTCAGAACCCAAATACTTCTGAATAAAAGTGCATGGCATTTCAGGTTAATGAATGGAATTTCCTTCCAAAGTACAACAACTCCCTCATATCTATTAACTGGATTTAAGCAAATCCTAGGGTTTGAATTTATTAACACTTACAGCAATAAAAGTAATTACTTTTAAAATGAGCTGAGTCTCAGAAATTGCCTGAGATATGTGGAATTGCTATAAAAAATTACTAATACCAATATATTACCTACAGTAATGTATCTGCTAATCATGTTAATCTCAAAGATGAAAGGGAAAATTGGAAAATGTAAAAAAAAATATTTGAAAAGAAAAACAATACTTTTTCCTGTGTCTTTCCCTAATAAAATGAAAGCAATCAAAAGATCAGATGTATTTTTTGAAGTTATAAAATGATGAAATTTAGCACCATGAAGATATATTAAAGTCTGGTCACCATCAACCCATGATTCTACAATAGAGCAGGTGATATCTCAACAGAGGTAGCCACTTGACCTAATTTCAAAAAGCAAATGGAAACCATAACATTTAAAATAATATAAAAGCTAAATAAAGGCCCACTACACATAGGATCTGCTGTTTTAATCTGCTACAGATAAAAATTAAAAGCAGCAGTACAAATATTAGAATCATACAATTGATTTCAAAGTTTTCCTCCCTTCAGTTGAAGGAAACTTTTTGCAAGTCCTTTTAGATGAACAGGATATTGAATCCAACCTAACAATTTGTCATCAGAACTGGCAGAAGAGACAGCATGAGGTATTAGTTCAGGATTCTCATTCCAGGTATGACATTCCCAATAATCAACACAACTGCAACAATGCCTACACTGATCTGTTCTTGGATCTGTTCGCTCCTCGGATCTGTTGTCCTTCTTTTGGCATTTCTTCTTGATATCAGAACCATATGAAAAGGAGCAAACTGAAACATATATGTTTGACTGCTAAACACTGCCTGTTGGTGAAGCTCAGTGACCAAAAGTGTGGATCACTATAGTTTTTTCTTGGCTGCCCATACAGAAAAGGAAAAATCAGCATAGCATGACCAAAGCATGGAGCAGTTCTTAAAGCAATAAGATCAACCAACATAATTTTTGTTTATTTTTACAGATCACAAGGAGGCTGTCAGTTTATCATCTTACCGTAGTTTTTTCCAGACAGTGAAGCAGATGGTGGTGCTGGATTTCAAAGGAAGAACCAGATTTGCTAACAAAGGCCTCTTGTTCTTCACCACATAGCTGTTGATATATTGAATGTTACATTATTCTCATTTGTGAAAGAATGGGCTTTAAGCTGATTTCTTTACTTTAAAAAGAGCCAATCACTATAACTGTCTATCATGGAAATATTAAATAGCATAAAATAATCTGATTCAGAGTTCACTTTTAACTAACTTGATTTAAAAGTCAAGACAAGGAAGTCATTGTTCACTGAATGTTGCAACATGACATTGACCATCTCAAATAAATCCTTAGTGGTTTTTAGACAAGTGAACTTTCCCCAATCTGAAATCCTCCAAATTGTGGGAATCTACCTCCATAATTCCATACTCTCAGGGAATTAAGAGAGTTGAGGTTCAACATTTTTGGAAGTGAACCCTCTGAGGAAAAAATTAATAAACATTATTACACTTATCAGTTTATATCAATGGGGCCAATAAAGGCAGGATGAAAGCAGTGGTGTGAGCGATCCCCCCCAAAAAAAGCAGCCATTCAGTGAAAAGTTGGACATGATTATGCTAAATAGAACTCTCTAGAATAATCCTGGGGAAGTTCATAGTATTTCAATGAATAACAAATGATAACAGTAAAATGTTAATTCTAATTATCTACTGAAAATACCCCGCCACAGTTTAAATGTGTGAAGTAATCAAATCTTTTCCTTTCCTTTTTTTTCTTCTTCTAGGCTCACTTTCCATTTGGATGCTCTTGTCAATAGGAGTGATGGTTTATCATTTGAACTTCATTGCTTTAAAAGTTTTCTATGCTGCATTTCAGCATTATAGGAGAAAAAGACATTTCTATTATTCAACACAAAACCCATATCAATATTGCCACTAGCTGCCATTATAGCACCTTAGAAAGTGTACAAAAATCAGCACAGGAGCAACGAGCAATAAAGTCTTGTTAAATAAATGAGTTCTTGAAGGTGAGGGAACAACAGAGCTACACTTATTAAAGGAAATCATTCTAAAAATTGTGCTAATAAAGGACTGGTGTTTGGCTTCATTTTTGTTGGTGTTGCTGCTGCTACTTCTACAGTCAGCTACAATTCTAATATTTCTTAGGCAGCCTAAGAAAATGGTTTATGTTGCGTCCTTGGCGGGAAAACAGACACGAGAAGCAGCTGGAGTTCTCAGTTTCTTTTATTCAGCGTTCAGCTTACAGGAAGATGGCTTCAGCCTCGCCCAAACGCCTCGCAGCCTCTTATATAGGCAACTCCCGGGTAAATGGGTTACTTTTCCCGCGCCAGCACCCGCGCATGCGCACGGCGCTGGCGACAGCCTGTCTGGTCCCGGGCAGCTTTGCACCTGCCCGGGACTGCCTGCAAACGCCCGAGCCGTTTGCAAGGCTCGGGACATAACACCCCTTTCCCCCGGGCTAAAACTACTACCAACATACAACATTTATTTTATATGACATTTTGCTCCCCAGTGCTCCCACTGTTTACTGGCCTTTGCCTTGCCAGCAATGTTATGTAGTCTTCTAGGTACTTAGGAGATTTCTTTGCTCTCTGTGACCTTCTTAGCTGTGGGTTACTGGCATAAGTCCCCTGACTGGAGGGAGGCGTGAGCCTGTTCTCTCTATTGTGCCCTGGTGTCTTCCAAGGACTGTGCCCCGATGCCTGGCCTGCTTGCTTGCCCACCGGGCTCGTCAGGCCAGGGCTTCTGTTGCTTTGTGACCTGGTTGACCTACCTAGCTGTAGACCCTCAGGCCCCTTGAAGTGATAGCCGCTGCTGGGCGTCTCTGTAGAACCTCCTAGGTCAGTCCAAGACCTGTCAGGAGGCTGTCCATTCCCTGAACCCCATTCTGTGCTCGGGCTCGTGTGGGTTTCTGTACTTTCCCAAAACTCAGGTGTTCCCTGATTTGTGCTAGGGTTGTTGTAGTCGGGACTTGGTTCCTCGACTAGCTCTGTGTATGTTTGACCCCCTGTAGGATTTGGGGTAAGGTCAGGCCAACTTTGGGGATTGTGTGCCAGCTCTCTTGCGGGGAATGATTTGTTGGGATGCCCCCGGGTATCCTCCGTGACTGGAGTGCTGTGTGACGTGTGTGGAACGTGAGTATGCCCCCGGGGTGACTCCCTGGCTGGAGTAGGCGTGGATGCCTGGTAGTTAGGTAAGCTCATGGAATTCTTGTTCGGAGCTCTCGCGGAACCCTGGGATGGGCCGTTTGTGGCTCCCTCAGTGGAGATGGGCAGCAGCTCGTGCCCTTCCCTTTGCTCCAAAGGGTCCCCCTCCCCCCCTGGAAAAGACCCAGGAGTCTCAGCAGAAAAGTCTCGCCTAGAGCGAAGTTGGTCGATGTGCCGACGTAGGACACGACCGTTGTCCAGGGCAACCTCGTAGGAGAGAGGACCTGTGATCCTGGACACAGAAGCGGGGACCCATGTATGACCAGGCCCGTAATTGCGAGCCCAAACCGGGGCACCCACAAGTAGTCGTCTAGGTGCCCTAGGATGTGAGGTAGATGAAGGCAGTCTGTCCGGATGCAACCGGTCAAGTCTAGTAGTAAGTTGGCGCCCCCAACGAAGTTCAGCTGGACTTCTCCCTGTAGAAGTGGACGGTGTGGTGCGATAAGAAAGGAGAAAGTCAGCCAACCTGTGATGCCAGTCCCCGTAGGTGAGTCTCTTCAAGGCGTCCTTTGCGATGCGCACCATGCGTTCAGCCATACCGTTGGTGGACGGGTGAAAAGGCGCAGACGTGGCATGACGAATCAGGTTTGCCTGTAAGAAAGCTTGGAATTCGGAGGAGGTGAATTGAGGGCCGTTGTCGGACACAATGACATCTGGCAGCCCGTGTGCAGCAAAAATCCCCCTCAGTACCTGAATAGTCTTTGCAGTGGTGGTGGATGAGACAGGCACAACCTCAAGCCATTTTGAATGGCTGTCAACAAGGACCAAGAAGAACTGGCCCTGAAAGGGCCCAGCGTAGTCAATGTGCACCCTAGACCATGGGGACTGTGTTTCCTCCCATCTATGCACAGGAGCTTGGGGCATCTCTGGGCGAGATCGTTGGCAGAGGTGGCATGCGTGCACCTTAGCCTCAATATCTTTATCTAAAGCAGGCCACCACAAGTGGCTTCGTGCAAGAGCCTTCATACGGACAATGCCAGGATGACCCTCGTGGAGGGATTCTAAGACCCTAGTCCTCATTGAGGTGGGAATGACAACTCTGTTTCCCCAAAGCAGACAACCCTGAGAAAGGGACAGTTCGTTCTTTTGGACCAGAAACTCTGAAACTCAGGACTAGGGCAGTGCTCAGGCCACCCGGACAGGACCCAGGAGCGGACACGTGAAAGTGTGTGATCTGTACCGTTTCAGCGGTAACATCCCTGGCACTAAGAGGGAGCTCGGGCAAGGCTTGGATTGATAGAATGTTGACAGCTGGCGCGGGGTCAGCTTCTACTACTGGCAGAGGCAACCTACTGAGGCCATCAGCATGGCCCATTTCTTTCCCAGGCTTGTGGAGTAATGAAAAATCATATGCAGACAAGAAAATAGACCACCTAAGCATTCTAGGGGAAATGATGTGGGGAGTCTGCTTACGTGTGGTAAACAGTCCCAGCAGAGGCTTATGGTCAGTGAAGACCGTGAAATGCCTGCCATATAGAAAATCGTGGAATTTTTTAATTCCAGCAACAACAGCCAGAGCCTCCCTGTCTATCTGAGCGTAGTTGCGCTCGGCAGAAGACAGTGTTCTGGAGTAGTATGCAATAGGAACCTGAGTTCCATCAGACCTGAGGTGACTCAGGACAGCTCCAACCCCGTAGGGGGATGCATCACAAGCGATGCACACAGGAAGAGACTCGTTGAAATGTGCAAGAACACTGTTAGAAGTGAGCAAGGCCTTGACTTCTTTAAAGCAAGCCTCATGTGCTTGTGACCACAGCCACACAGCTTGTTTGTCTAGTAGCCTGTGAAGAGGCTCAGCTACACTAGCTTTATGTGGAAGAAAAGAATTGTAGAAATTCAGGAGGCCTAGGAAGGCCTGAAGTTCGGCCTTAGACTTTGGCCTGGGTGCTTGTAAAATAGCAGTTAGTTTGGATTCAGCAGGATGAATCCCAGCAGCATCAATTTTGAATCCCAGAAATTCAGTAGAAGGCACCCCGATCTTGCATTTGTCTTTTCTGAGCTTGAGGCCTGATTCCCTGAATCTTAACAGGACAGCCCTAAGTCTTTCAGCTAGAATGTGTGTGGAGTCTCCTGCAATCAAGACATCGTCAAAGTAGGGGCAGACCCCTGGTATACCTCGTAGTGTGTTTTCCATTACGCTTTGGAAAATCCCAGGAGCGACATTTACTCCAAACTGTAGCCTTTTTACTTTAAAGGCTCCCCTGTGGGTCACAATGGTCTGAGCTATGGCAGCATCATCATCAACAGGCAGCTGTTGATATGCTTGAGCTAGGTCAAGCTTTGCAAAAACACGCCCCCCCTTGAGAGAGGCCAGGATGTGACTGACCACAGGAACAGGATAGGCATGTTGCTGCAATGCCTTATTGAGTGTGCATTTGTAATCAGCACAAATGCGAATGTCCCCATTTGCCTTTAGAGGCGTGACAATGGGGGTCTCCCACGGGCTGGAATCAACAGGTTCTAGGATTCCCTGTTGGATTAGTTTGTCTAGTTCAGTGTCAATCTTACTTTTTAAAGCAAAAGGGACCCTTCTTGCTTTAATCCTAATGGGAGTGACAGTGGGGTCTAGCTTTAAGGACACAGGTGGTCCTTTGAATGTGCCCAGCTGGGGGCTGAAAACATCTGCAAATTCTTTGCAGACTTCCTGTAGGTCGAGTGTTTGTAAGCTGTTGAGTCCTGTGACGTGTATCCCCAGGGCCTCAAACCAATCGAGTCCTATGAGACTCGTTCGTTCACCCCCTACTACTAAGTAAGTCTAGTGGACCTTCAAAGCTCTTGTATTGCACGTTAAGGGTGGCCTCCCCCTTAACACATACTCTTGAGTTCTGAAAATCTGTTAATACAATATCAGAAGGCCTTAACTTGGCCTTAGACCCACTACTGGAACAAATCTTCCTAAATGTATGCAATGAAATGATGGACAGGGCAGACCCTGTGTCTAGTTCCATAGATAATGGAACCCCTTGTAGCTTCACGTTGAGTGACAGCTTTTTCTTCATGGGCTTGTGTGTGCCTGTTCTACAGATGCTTCTTCGCGAAGCGCAAAACCCTACCCTATTCTGGCTGGGGAATCTGGTACCTTTCAGGCGTTCTTCTTGGGGTTGTGCCTTTCGTCGGCTCAGACACACAGCTGCAATATGCCCTTGTTTGCCGCATGCCCGGCAGGTAGCGGAGCGGAACTTGCAGTCGGTTCTCCTGTGGCGACCTCCACAGCCGATGCACTTGAGCAGAGCCGAAGAGCTTCCCTTCTGGTTCTCTTCCTTCGCGGGGTGTAGACGGTCGACTTCCTCGTCCGGATCCTCCTCGGAGTTTCGTCGGACGTCTTCCTGGTGCACGGACGCACCCTCTGCACTGTTTCTGATCGGCCGCATGTTTTTGATGGCGCCGCCTGCTGCTTCTTCTGCGGTGACTTCCCTTAAGGCGTCTTGGAAGGATAATTCTTCCTTGGCAAAAAGTCTCTGTTGTAGCTCTCGATGCCTTAGCCCGCACACGAATCGGTCCCTCAGTCGTTCCTCGAGGTCCTTGAACTCGCAGGGCTTGGCGGCCTTCCGTAGCGCGGCGATGTATTCCTTGGCTGTTTCACCGGACCGTTGATCCCTCTGCTCGAAGGTGTGGCGCCATGAGATAACGGACACCTTGGGGTGGAAGTGCTCTTTCAGCAGCTTCTTCAGGTCTGCGTAGCTTACAGACTCTACTGGAACAGGTGCTACAAGATTTTCTGCGATTTCGAAGGCGTCTTGGCCGCAAACGCAAAGCAGGGTGGCGGCCTTCAAGCTATCTTCCCTCACTTGGTTTGCCTTGAAGTAGTTCTCCATTCTGGATACGTAGGACTCCCACCGCTCTGGATGTGAGACGTCGAATTCCGAAAGCCTTCCGATTTTCGCCATCTTCGGATCTTCAGGAGACGGGTCTATCAGCCAGCCTACCCCCGAATGCGCACCGGATTGGCGGGTAGCTGCCGAGTCGACGCCGTTCCTCTTCCGCCGTTCAGGACTCCTCGGGTAAGCTTACACTTCTTCCTTTCCAGGTAGTGCAAGGCATCCCATCCTCGTCGCCAGTGTTGCGTCCTTGGCGGGAAAACAGACACGAGAAGCAGCTGGAGTTCTCAGTTTCTTTTATTCAGCGTTCAGCTTACAGGAAGATGGCTTCAGCCTCGCCCAAACGCCTCGCAGCCTCTTATATAGGCAACTCCCGGGTAAATGGGTTACTTTTCCCGCGCCAGCACCCGCGCATGCGCACGGCGCTGGCGACAGCCTGTCTGGTCCCGGGCAGCTTTGCACCTGCCCGGGACTGCCTGCAAACGCCCGAGCCGTTTGCAAGGCTCGGGACATAACAGTTTAGTTAACTAGTCTTCATACTTTTGGATTTCTACCATACTATGCTTACTATGGGAAGTCCTCAATTACAATCACAACTGTTCCTAAGCAAGGCAATTGTTAAGTGAGTCACAACCAATTTTATAACATTTTTGCCACAGTTATTAAGTGAATCACTGCAAATGTTAAGTGAATCATGAAGTTGTTAAGTGAACCTGATTAACTTTGCTTGTCAGAAGCTGGCTGGATAGGTCACAATTGGCAATTGCATGACTCCAGGATGCTGCAACCATCATAAATATCTCCCAGTTGCCAAGTGCACAAATTTTGATCATGTGACCAAATGGATGCTATGATGGTCATAAAGACAAAGGCCAGTCATAAGTCACTTTTTTCAATGCTGTTTTAACTTTGAACAGTCGCTAAATGAATGATTGTAAGTCAAGGACTACCCGTGCTCTTTATTAATTCCTGCTCCATTGGTATACTGGAAAAAACCCCTGCCATTCACCCCTGAAATAAAGGCCTGGAGATCCATGTGGGGATCAAGAGGGAAAGGGAGTTTGACCTGAACATTCCTCCAGTATAAGAGAGCTTAGAAATCACTTAGGCATAATTTGAAATCTCTTTGAAATTAAAACCAAAAGTGATTTATGATTGAGGCCAGAATGGTATGTGAATTTTGTGTGCATATGTGTGTGTATCTTTGTAGAGACATATATGTGTGGCAAGGGAAATAGCCCTAGGAGGACAATTTCAGACTTATGGGAATTACATGACAAACCCACATTCTCCATCATACATTAATTTGACTTTGCAGGTCCCAGAAACGAGACTGGTCCATCTTGCCTGAACTGGGCTTGCAAAGCTTTTGCTAGTTATAAGCAATTACTCCTTCTTCTGCCTGAGGGTGACTGTCATGGTATATTGGAAAGCAGCCTGACATTTTCCGATATGAAACAGACAGAGGATCACTGGGCTATTATTAAATAAATTATGTTTCTGGATATAGAACACAGATGCTCATTACCTGCAGCTGGTTACTGAGGAAGCCATTTCTTTTGCTCTGCATATAAGCATTTGCACTCCCACTCTTTGCTGCACGGATCCTTGCAAGCCGGGCTTTCTGGGGCGGGGGGGGTGGGGGGAAGAGGAGGAAAGAGAAAAAAGTGTCACTTGCTTTTATAGCTCTCATATTGTTTTCAAAGAAAGGTAATACAGCTGATTGAAAATATTTCTCCTGAATACCCAAGCTCTCGAATCACCAAAGGGTCTCTTTCAACTGGCTCTCCAGGTGCAGTGTTTCACATTTTCAATGCAAATGATCAGGAAGCATTCATTTCTCAGCAGGCATCAGCCCATAAGAACAATGCATGGGCTTTGAGTCCATTTACACCTTTTTACATTAGACAGATTGTTTCCCCATTTCTACGTCAAGGTGATTGTGTCACCCCTGGTACCTGGAGGTGAGGAACCCTCCTTTCATATAATTTTACTTGCACCATTTCTGAGACCGCACTAAAAAAAAAAAAAAGCTCCTTCAGAAAAATGGACAAGACCAGAAGGACTTGGAGCTGTTCAACTGCAGAGAAGTGTCATATGTGGTGATTCAGAAAAGTCTGATTTGTACAACCCAGTGAGAACCAAATCTATGGCTCTCTGTTTATCCAACTGCTGGGAGTGAAAATTTTGAAAGCAGTATGTACCACAGAATAGTTTAAGTTACTTTTTTGGATATACTCCAGGGTACTAAATAATTTGAATAAAGACTTCTCTAATTGTCTCATTTGATTTGCCACTATCAAGGAAGTCCAGTAATTTCCATCTTGAAGCAGAAACAACAATTATAATTAATACATGGAAAATATGCTGTCTTCTCATTAGGCCAGAGAACACCATGAAGAAGTAAAAAGCCTGTGGACTGAGAAATGGCAATCTAAGGAGGTCATGCTAAATTAAATTCCCAAGTTCTCTTTTTTTACTTTATTTTCTTAAAAAAAAAAAAAAAAACACTCTAATGCCACAACTGAATAAGTGGCTTTTCATGTTGTCTTAGGTACTGAAACCTTATGAAAAAAAATTCTTCTGGAGCAAATAATGGTACAACTCTAATTAATCTATTGCATGTCCAGTTTGGACTGTCTTGTAGCCAGAAAGATGAGGGATATTTGTATATTATATTTCAGTTTACACCATAATTATAATAAAAGCATTTAAAAGCAATCATAAGATTGGGAAGGCATATTCTCAAACAAAAAGGGCACTCTAGAATTGCCTTCTTTGCTTGACAAGGAAATTCTATCTTAATACATCAATAATGTATTTAATACATCAATAATACATTTAAATAATATACTTTTTCATTCCTAAGATACAGTGAAAATTTTCTTATAGAGTGTACTGGATGCTTCAGAAAATGCTTAGTTAATTTCAGTTATGAGTATAAAGTGCTGCAGAAAACAGTGATATAAAATCTTTGGGCTTCTTCCTGGATTTAGTCTTATAATGATTCTCTACACATATATTCATCTTTGGCTAGTTCATTGATACTGCATTCTGAATTTGTCTACCAAGAGAGAAGCAGTCTAGAACTAAGGAGAAACTTCCTGACAGAACAATTAACCAGTGGAACAACCTGCCTCCAGAAGCAGTGAATGCTCCAACAACTGGAAGTTTTTAAGAAGAAACTGGACAGCCATTTGTCCGAAATGGTATAAGGTTTCCTGCCTGAGCAGGGGGTTGGACTAGATGACCTCCAAGGTCCCTTCCAACTTTATCATCATCATCATTAGTATTAGTATTAGTATTATTAGGTATAGTGGTAACCTAGAATGGGCTTACAGTAGTGAAGGTGAACCTCTTGGGTTCAGCCTGTCAATAACTAGGAAAATGCCTAACTTGACTTTGCAGATGGTGTTCTCTCTTTCTGTTGATAGGCCACTGCAGCCTACCCGTGGCTGCTCTGGGTTGCATGAGGCTTTCGTTCTGAAAGCAGCATTCTCCAATGCTCTTCTGCAGCTTCAACTGTGCGAAAGTACACCCTTTTCTCATGTGATTTTTGCAGGCAAGAGCACAGCCATCTCACCAATTTCCGGGGGGGTCAGGAGGCCACACAACAGCATATTTCATTCTGGTACAGCATCCACAGTTTCTGAATAGTGTTTGAGAATGTGCTTTCAATAATAGTTATTGTCATGTGTTGGTGAACATGAGTGTATCATCTGAAATACTGTGGTACGTCACTAGAGTTTTGTAAAAGCCCATATTAAATAAGAAATGACTTTTAGTAATCCTCCAATTCTTTTTAAACACAGATTTCTATTACAATTCTATTTAGGAAAACAAAATTACAATTTTCTTTTCCTAAATTTCTTACACCCATAGAGCAAAAAATCTGAATTGCAGGGGGATTAACCTGAGCACAACAAAGCCCCCACCCAAACAGAACACTCCCCCAACCAATCAGAGCACAGCCAACCCCCCATCCAATCAGAGCACAGCCAAACTCCTAACCAATCAGAACACACCTCCATCCAATCAGAACACAGACAAGCTCTCATCCAATCAGTTCATACCCCCACTGGCAGTTAAAAGAAAGAAATAGCTACGATCACACATTGCTCCTAGAAGCACGAAGCCAAAAACACCAGCCTGAAGATGACGAATGAGACTTCGTCGAAACGTCGCCAAGACACTTCCAATTTGAGGCGGGAGAAACCCCGAATAACCAAAGACATACATACATACATACATACATACATACATACATACATACATATATATATTCTGAGGTTTTCGCGGGTGTTTGTATGTAGGTCTTTGGTTATTCGGGTTTTCTCCCACGTAAAATTGGAAGTGTCTTGGTGAAGTTTCGATGAAGTCTCATTCGTCATCTTCAGGCTGGTGCTTTTGGCTTCGTGCTCCTAGGAGCCCAGCTCCTAGCCCGCGTCATTGGTCCTAACTGGTTAATCTATGTTCTGGTCATTTCTATGACGTCTGCATCTAGCCCTCCTCTCTTTTGAACACTCTATTTTTTTTATTAAAAAAGTTTTTATTTTCCATTTATTCATACAAAATACAATTAAATTCCTAACCATTGGTACTGCCTGCCCATTCCCCCCCAGGCTGCGTCCACCCTCTCTAATCCTTCCCCACTTCCCTCCTCTTTCTCTCCTCCCCTCCTACTCTCTCCCCTCCCCTTCTCCTCTAACCCTCCTACTTCCTCCCTACTCCTTCCTCCCCTCTCAGCCCTCTCACACACATAAACGCAGCATAGGGGAAATGCCCAAGCGTTTACCAGGGCAGAATACAGGGTTATTATTAAGAAAGTTAACAATAATGAAAAAGAAAAAGAAAATAAAATAAAAGAGAAAAAAAAACATCATACTTAACCTTTAACTCCCCTTAAATTAAGTCATATAAACAAATCTCTACAACAGTTACTATAAAATTTACTCATAAAATAAATGAAACTTTATAGTCCCATATTTTTTCTGAATATAATCTATCCATCTTCTCCATACAATAATATATCTTTCTTGTGTATGATCCTTCAAATAAGCAGAAATTTTTGCCATTTCTGCAAAGTTAGAAACTTTAAATATCCATTCTTCTAAAGTAGGCAACAAGTCCTTCTTCCAATAGGAGCCTACTAATAACCTTGCTGCAGTTAATAAATTCAACATTAAAGTAGTTTCTTTGTCATTTAAATCCACAAAAATACCCAATAAGAATAACTGAGGGGTGAACTTTATCTTCCTTTTAAAAATCTTTTGAATGTTCCCCCAAATCATAATCCCAAAAGCCTTTACCTTTTTACAATTCCACCAAACATGAAAATATATCGCATCCGTATTACCACATCTCCAACATTTGGGTTGTAAATTTGGATACATACAAGATAATTTTTTAGGATCTAAATGCCATCTGTAAAACATTTTATAAAAATTTTTCCCTCAAGTTTTGAGCTTGTGTAAATCTAACATTTCTAATCCAAATTGTCTCCCATAAGTCCAATGGGATCGGATCCTGGATATTCTGAGCCCATTTAATCATATAGTCTTTAACCAATTCTGTTTCAGAGTCTAATTCTATTAAAGCATTGTAAATTCTTTTTATAAGGGCCTGACTCTGGTCTTTAATCTGAATAACCAGATTTCCATCTTCTAGTGTTATTCCTTCTTTTTTATCTACAATCCACCTGTCCACTATTTGTAAATATTGAAACCATGACTGTAGAATATTTTCTTGCCTTAATACATCTAGAGATTTTAAATGCCAATCCGAACCTGACCAAGTTAATAATTCTTTATACGAAATTTTATCAAAATTCATCCCCTTAGAAATCCCCTCAATTGCATGTCTAGGAATCCCCCAGATAGGTATTTTATAGTTTAACCTATAATAATACTTTTTCCAAACTCGAAGTAAGGCACTCCTCAAAATATGTGATTTGAAAGCCCGGTCCACTTTCTTATTAAAAATTAAATATGCATGCCAACCATACATTAAATCCCACCCTTCAAGAACAAGAATATCCTTATTTGTTAAATTAAGCCAATCACTTATCCAAGTTAAGGCGGCTGCATCATAATATAATTTCAAGTTAGATGCTTTAAGTCCTCCTCTTTCTCGGGCATCTTGCAAAATCTTAAACTTAACCCTTGGTTTTTTCCCAGCCAAATGAATTTATTGATACCCTTCTGCCATTCCTCCAAATTTACATCTTTTTTTAAAATAGGTATCATCTGAAACAAGAAAAGAAACTTTGGTAGAACATTCATTTTTACAGCTGAAATTCTTCCCAGTCATTTAAATCCTTTTGCACTTTTGCCCATAATAATTCATAATTATTTTTATACAATTTTCCATTTGAGGCAGTTAAATAAACTCCCAGATATTTAACCTTTTTCACCATCTGAAAACCTGTGGCTTTAACTAAACTTTCCTTGTCATTGGCTAACATATTCTTAGATAATATCTTAGTCTTATGGTTATTGACTTTAAAACCGGAAACTTTTCCATACTGTATTATAAGTTCTAATAGACAATCAACCGCTCTAATCAGTTGTTCCAAAATCAAAACCAAATCATCCGCAAAAGCCCGTAATTTATACTCATTTTTTC